TCGTCGCGTAACTATGCAGCAAACATCGTCACTTGGTCTTGGTTTTGTCACTCGCGATGGATGACGGTCACGTGGCCGCTTCCTGCCAAATGACAACGATGTCGGCCTTGCTAACGCCACCCCCGACTATCATGAGATTGAAAGAAGCTGTCGCGAGTTGCAGACGGTGGCTAGAGCTCTCGAAACTACGGCAAGATACACTTTCTGCTTATTATATATCCAGGAGCCCGTTTTTTCACGATACAAAATTGTGCTTTAACGTTAGTTTTAGCAGTTGACTGTAACTTTATCTCGTGACAGAAACGTGGTAGTAATAAAGTTTTCTTCGGTGCCAGCATGTGTATAGAGGTCGTTCTGCGCTCGTACGAGAAAAATATCATGTTAAGACTAGCGTTAGGACAGTCTGTTTCTGACAACCTTGCGACGGCCAACTGGGCTCTCATTGTTCTAGGCGTAGCCTAGCTTTGCGAACGCCATACTGGCACATGAATATCTAGAGACTGAAACCTTAGCCTCACGTTGAACGTCCGACGTGCCGTCATCTTGACGTATTTATACAAACCGAACACGAGAGCGATGGCAGAGACAACCACCTATCGTGTTAATTCCGCAGTGAGACACGATTATATACTTATCTATCTCTATATCTATATACATATATTCACGACATGGTATATATATATATATATATCACTATAATTATACTATATATATATATATGCCTTACCGAAGTACCATAGCTATCGATATAATATAGAGAGACGTAGTGATAAGAGACGTATGTTAGAGAGAGTATGGGTCGTAATCGAAACGCACAATTCAAAATGATTGCCAGATAGATCGCACGAGATACGTGTTTGGGACAGGATGGAACCCACTCAGTTAGACTATCCTCGAGGTTGCACCCGAGCTGAGAGCTTAGGACGTAAAGCGTAGCGCACACGTAAGTTTTATGCTTCGCCCTTGTTTCAACCGAGATACGCTATCGTCAGCTAAGTTATCCTAACCATCTTTATCTATCATAGGATCTTGCGTTTCATGTCGCGTGGCCTTTGTCAAGTGCGTGCGTGGCGTTTGCTGGCGTTGCGTGTGCGTTTGCTGTGCGTGGTCGTTGCGGCGTGTGTGTACGTGCGTGGTTTGTTGCGTAATAAGTCCTTCGTTCTCAGAGGATGGCCGGAAGGTTGTGCTGAGCTGCCTGAGATCGGAAGAACTGAGAGTGGAGATACATGATACAGCCGGCTTTCTCTGACGAGGCGTTTCGTGTGTACTGCCGACATGGAAACGACGCGTGGTGGATGGACGTGAGTATACACACAACACACACACACACACACACCACACCACACCACACACACACACACACACACACACACACACACACACACAACACACATACACACGACACAATACCACACACACACACCACACACACAGACACACACACACACACACACACACACACACATATTATATATATATATAAACTTTACATCATGCTGAGTTCAGCAGTTAGTTGCTACATATATTGTTAGACTGAATATATTTCAGCAAGATGACAAGCAGGCAGGTTGTCGTGTCGATCATTGTTTTCATGCCCAAACTGTGTGAAGTTACACGCAAAGTCGGTCTTTCAGCGAAGGCTATATGGCTCAGGGCGGTTTTCTACAGAAAGCTGGGACTCGATACAAGTTCGGATCGGAAACATGAAACGGAGACATTGAGACTCGGTGGCTCCAGCGGTGCGTGCATGCATGCGCGGCGGCGCGTGCGTTTGCGAAGCGTTGCGTGCGTTGCGTGCGTGCGTGAGTGTGTGCATTGCGTGCGTTCGGTGACATGCATGCATGGCGTTGGCATGCGTGCGCTGGCACGGCTGCATGCTGGTGCGTGGTGCTCGTGTGTGCATGGTTGGTCCTGCGTGCTGCGTTGCTGTGCCGTGCATGCGTGCTGTGGTGCCGTGCGTGCCGTGAGTGTCGTGCGTGCATGCCATGCGGAGCGGGGTTGCGTCGGCGTAAGAGCTGCGGTGTGCTTGTGTGCG